CGGCCGTGCTGAAATGGGTGTCAAGCGCGGGACTGGTGTCAGGGTGCGGGGGAAAGTCGTGTTCTCCCTTCTCCTGGGGTGGCCGTCCGGTGAGCGAGGATGTGCTGCTGGAGCAGCCTCTGCCCTGCTCACCCTGCTTCCCTTCGCCCTCAGCTCTTGGCTGCCAGTAATAAGTACATATCCCTTCATAGCACACGCCAGGATGTTTGGGATCCTGCTTTCATCCTGGTCTTTTTATGTTAAGTGATGTTCAGGACTAAAGGAAGAGGATGTTTGTATGAAAACTTGTTTCATGGGTTTTTAGGCTGTTTGCCAGGGACCGAGCGATTTCCAGGGGAGTCTGTGAATGGTAACTCAGATGCATCTACTGTCAATTATGCTTCTGCTGTTAAAAACCCCCCAAAATACTCGTTGTCTGCAGAAATGGAAATCTGAATTTTTTGTGCCTAGTTCAGTGGTTCTCCTGCAATAACACACAGAGCTAAAGAAACGTTCTGGCTTGGATTCATAGCCAGCTATTAAATAGTAACAGTTACAGGACTTAATAAGTTTCAGCGCAAGGGTTGCCCGTAGTTCATTGGGCCATTAAGTTTGAGGGGAGGTGATCTAAGCAGAAAACAATGTAGGTTGCATTTTTGGATTAAGTGTGAACAGGACGCTCTTGATAGCTTCCTTCCAGTTATATGTGTTAAGCACAAGAAGAGGTGTAATAATTTTCACTATTTACTCTCTGCTATCTCTAGCTGTGTAACTTTAAGGAGAGGTATAGAAACTATGCTGAGCATTTGGTATTTGCTGCTGTGTTTGGTTTCTGGCTTGTGTCTGCTTTGGGGCCTTTCTTGACAGAAGTCTGTAGAGACCGGCCCAGTCTGTGGCTTTAAAGGACATGTGAGACACTGTCAAAGTATGTGAAATTCGGAGCTCTTTGTTTCACAGTCCCTTTCATCCACTTTTTCTTAAGGAAGCAAAGATGCCCCTGGCTATCAGCTGGTAGAGGTGTTCATTTGGTCAGACAGTGAACTAAAACGGGAACTCCTCTGGGTGGAAACCATTTATTTTTCTTCTGCTGGGTCAGTTTTAATCTTGATCATTTCCACATGCAATCACATGGATTCTTGCTTTAGCACAGGGAGGAAGCAGCCCAGGGTTGTGGGAGTGAGGAAAAGAATCTGCTGCATTGGGCAGGAATGCTGGCTCATGACACTGGTAATAATTTCACAGGCACTGGAATGTTTCCTTTGAGTCTGTCCATTGACTTTCTATCTGTTAATGCAGTTATCAGTTTAATAATGGCATTGAGTCATAGAGGGTGTTGGTTAACCATTGTGAATACCAACAAACTAACAAGCTGAATGCCTTAGTCATGATTTATTTTGAGATGCAGGCAAATTATTCTCTCCACTTTCTTACAACAGAAAGTCTCAAGCCCCTTCTCAGACTTGCACTATCTAGTTGATATCAAAGCCAAACATTCTACCTGCATTTACCCTGAAATGACTCTGAGACTGAGAACTGAATGCTCATACCAAAGGCAGCTTTTCCCCTGTTCTTCAAATAAACTGTCTCAGAGCTGGATCGAGGAATTAATGGGAAACAGTGTTAATCAGGAAGCGTTAATCTCTCCTAATTTCTTTTTAATGGAAGCATTTAAGCGGGTTGTAGAAGTTATTGGGAAAGTCTGGCTGTGAAGGTCTTTTCATCTTCCAAAAAGAGTTTCTGGTTAAAAAGAAAAAGAAACAAAAAACCACCAAGCCTACCCAACCCAGCCACTTAGAAGCGCAGATTTGTTCTTGAAACGTTTGGGAATCTGATAGTCGGGATACTTGCCTGGGGCAAAGAGCCGAGCCTGAATCCCCAAAACCCGGCTGGGTCTGGCCAGGAGCCCGATTGCTTTGCTCAGCCAAGACAAAGACTTCACACAGGACCCTTTGAAGAGTCTTTGTTTCATTGAACCTTGCAGTGCTAATTATTTGTCTTAAATTCATGAAATATGTTAAAATAGGACGGGAAATTTTCCTAAAAAAGAACACAGATCATGAGAATAAGGGAATGAGGAATTCCCAGAGACTTGGGAATTAGGGCATTAAGCTGAGCTTTTCCAGGTATTTCCTTCTCTCAGTTCAACTGTGCTTATCTTCCACATAAGATTAGTTGTTTAAAATTCTTAAAATAGCGTTACATATTTTAGAGAGTTACTGTGATCTGTGCAGTGTGTGTAACAGAGATTCCTGAGGGGGGTTTTAGGAATTCACTTTGTTACTCCAGAGGTGGATTTTTGTTGATACAATACCAAAATATAGCAGCTCCGAGTGCATGGCACTAATCAGCATCTGTAATTACAACAATTTCAGCACTCTGATGATATTCAAAGTTTGCCTTTTGTCTTACCTCGTTTGCTGGAGATGCTTTTTGTCAGGTCGGTACAAGAAGTTGTTACATCATTCATACG